AAGCTACCAAGGTAGCTTGCCAGGTTCATGAATGTTGGCAGAAGCTAGGAGAGTCCTGGGTCAGAGACGAAGGCCTTTACGACGGACAGAGCGTGGGCATTTTCTTGCGCTGGCTCCTTGATGCCCACTTCCCACTGAATGCTTCTGAGCACAGCAGGTGAAACATGTACACCTCAGCGTTCTCCTGATGAGACAAACTCTGAACTCAAGGAATCTGACCCTTTATACCTAATTTCACCTTTAGTCTAGCAGTAAGCAAGCTTGCGATTTTGTTGGAGGTGGTGTTCTGGAGGGAGCCACGGTTTCTGTCCTCCAAGGCTGTCCCCTGTCTAAACAGCCATGAGAAGATTGCTTGGACAAAGGCAGTCAGCACCTCTAGCTGTGAGACATGCAGTGGGCAATTGCCTCCCATCACACTCTTGCTTCCTTGCCATCACTTTGAATGGCAACCCACCTCACTGCTTTGAAATAGAAATAGTGTGCTTGATCATTCATTTTTCTCCAGATAGTCACTGAGATAAGTTAGGGTATTTTTCATAATCGTTCTTCAAGGAGAACTTAGATTCTTAAAGGTAGGAAGGTGGGTTAATTTTCTCAATGAATTAATTTTTCTCTCAAATTATGTAAAGCAAGAATGGCTTGATCCTTAGGATCTTTTCAGATTGACTCTTAATTTTAGAATTCTTGATATCGAGTGTTTTAGAAATTTGGGTTATAATCAGCAAGTATAGGTGATCCTTGGTGGTGGTGTGGATTACCCATTGGGCTGCTAACTGCAGGTCAGCAGTTTGAAACCACCAGCGGCTCCCCAGGCGGAAGGTGAAGCTGTCAGCCCCCATGAAGAGTCAGGGTCTCGGGAGACCCACAGGGGCAGTTCTACCTGGTCCTGTAGGGTCATGATGTGGCAGAGTTGGACTGGATGGCAGTGAGGTTGTCGTTTTGGAAGCAACTGCAGTGAAAGTTGAAAACGTTTTTTGTTAAAGGCATTCTGCCCATAAAAAATGAGCATCTATTTCTGTGACACCAAAACCTAGATCAAACCACTTTACAGCACAGTGGTCATATTTACGCCTTTTATAGATTGGACCCGAGATTGTGTTTAGCCTATTGTAGCCATTTTATCGATATCGCTTCTGAAAGAAAACGAACACATACCAATGGCTTAACAAGGTGCATAGTGCGTTAAGCAATGCATTTCGACTGGCACCTGATCAAGAGATGGGCTATTGTAGAGCATCGAAAGGACGTTAGCTAGTCACTTAAAGTGGGGAAGTGATCTAGGAAACCATCAAAGGAAGAAGGAAGTAAAATTTGGAAGAGTGTAGCTGTGTTGCTCAGAGAAGTAGCAAGCACAACCAGCCCCTGCTGGTCCACAGCCTTCAGAGACGTGGGCACCTGCTCTCAGAGCATCCGTCTGAGTGAGCGGTCCATTGGTAGCCCTTGCTCGTGCCTGCACACAGTAACAGCAGGTAAGTATGAACGGCCATCA